GCCAGGCAGTACTGTACCTTGACGGCAGCGCAGTACTGTTTGGACTGGGTCTGGCACTGGTCCAGTTTGGTCTGGTTCAGCTCTATCTCTGCAACCAGGGCCTAAATAACAGAGGACAATTACACACTGTAACCTGGCACGATTACCCCTTTCTGTCACATCTCCCCCTGTCCCTCTCTCCCTCCATCTCCTTCTCCCTCTCCCTCCCCCTCCCCCTCTTGCTCCCTCTCTCCCGCCTTCTCTATCTCCTTCTCCCTCTCTCCCCCTCTTCATCCCTCCTTCTCTCCACATCCTCTATCTCCTTCTCCCCCCTCTCTCTCTCTCTTTCCCTCCCTCCCTCTCTCTTGCTCCGTACCGTCTGCTGGCTCAGTTGCTCTGCCAGTGCACGGCTGTCCTCCCTCTGTCCAGGCTGCGTCCTCTCCTGTCTCTCCGTCATCTCCTCGATCCAGTGGATCAGCGCCGAGTGCCCGTCCCGGTACTGCTGCAGCACAGAGCCGATCGCCTCCAGGTCCAGTTGTCTGGAACCGAGCCATGAGCACACACACACACTCTCTCAGAGCAGGCGCGGACAAGCACACACACTTAAACCTGCACTAATCACTTCGAAGCATTTACTGCCCAGAAACGCCAGGCCTGTCTCCTCCCCTCCTGCACCTCTCTCGTGTATCCGGTGTGCTCCCGGTCTCTCCTGTCAAGGCTCAAGAGATCCAGCTTCTTTAGGCTGTGAGGTTTCATGGGAGTTCCAAGGTTGCACTCGACTCACCTGGTCTCGATCTGTCTCTGGACTCCCACCCAGCGCTCGGCGAGCTGGGCCGCCCTCTCCTGGTACCGGTCCACATCGGGGCTGCGCTCCTGGTTCAGCCGGGCCAGCTGGTCCCCTGCTTCCCGGGCTCTCCGGACTTCCTCCTCCAGAGACTGGAACACCGGCTGCTGCTGCCGGGCCTCGCACGTCCATCGCTGTAGGGAGAGGGGTGTCCCTCAGTAACGAGCCTGCCTCTCAGTGATGGTCTATGTGTGGTATATCGTATGTAAAGGTCCTGTGATCTATCTGTATTGTGAACGTATGTAGACGTTGTTTTGAATATATATGCTTTGGCAACACAGTGAATCAACAGGCATGCCAATAAAGCTGTTTGAATGTGAGTGTGTGAGGGGTCAGAAAGAGAGTGGGAGGAGCAGGAGAGATAGTGGAAGGGGCATAAGAGAGAGAGTGGGGGGGGGGGGGGGGCAGAAGAGTCATACTTTCACATCAGTAACTGACCTGCAGCTGCTCTCTCAGGGCCTGTATGGCCGTGGGGTCAGCCGGGACGATGTCCTCCTCACTCAGCCTGCTCTCATACTTTTTCACCAGGCTCTCTGCGGCCTGCGCACTGCGCAACAGCACATCCACGGTCTTCAGCCTGCAGCCGAGGAAAAGCACACTGAACACCAGGCCACATACACAGGCCGCACCTGAAGCCCACGGACTCTGCACGCAGACTCGACGCGCCAGGCTGTTCCTCTACACCTGCTCAGGTGTGCTTCTGCTCTTACCAGTGCAGAGCGACAGCAGGGACAGGAGGTGAGCAGGAGAGAAGCTGGATGGGCTGGAGGGGCACCCCCCTCACCCCCCTGCCCACACAGGTCCGTTACCCCAGCCCCAGCCCTCTCTACCTGTCCAGCTGAGCTGCGGGTCTTACTTGTGCAGGTAGACAGAGGACAGGGACTGCACGCGCTCCATGCGCTCCACAGTCAGGTTCAGCTCCGAGCGGAGGGCGGGGACGCTGGCGGAGGTAGGAGACTCGTCGAAGAAGCTGACGCACTTCCTGGACACCTGGCCCAGGTCCGACTGCAGCCCAACCAGCTCCTGCTGCAGCCGCTAAGAGCCGGAGAGAAAGAGGGTGTGAAGGAGGGGCGGGGGGAGGGAGGAGGAAGGTGGCAGAGCGAGCGAGAGAGGCCTGACCTCCTGCTCAGCGATGCGCACCACACTCTCCTGGCCGGCCTCGGGCTCCGCGGCAACGCCGGGGGGCGGGGCCTGTATCCGGCGGGTCAGTCTCTGCTCCGCCTCCTCCAGGTGCAGCTTGATGTTCTGCAGCTCCGACAGGTAGGAGCGGGAGAGCAGCTCGTCCTTCTCCACTGCGGAGAGACCGGGAGAGGGAGACAGCCGCCTGTCAGGCACCGCTGCACAGAGGAAGGCAGGGCACCGTGGTCCCGCCGGGCCCGGTGGGTCACCTGTCTCCATGGAGACGAGCAGGGACTGGCAGTGGGCGCGGCTCGACTCCACCTCCTCCTCCAGCTGGCGGTGCTCGGCGGCGGTGAACAGCGTGCTCTCCCGGCTGTCCTGCAGGAAGTCGGCCAGGTGAGTGGTCAGGTGATCCAGAGCCTGCTGCCGCTCCGCTGGGGACTGGGAGCGCACCTGGAGAACACGGGACAGGACAGGTCAGACCGGACGACGCACCAGCAGGCTCCGACAGGTTATCCGACTTCAGGAAACACACCTGAGAATGACTAGACCTCAGACAGGACCTGACCAAACCTGCAGAAGGCACTTCTACCTCAAAAGAGGAGAGCCTTACACCTCCAGCAGGACCTCCCACTGCCGACAGCAGGGAGCTGCTCCAGGAGGAGACCCGCACCCACACCTGACGCAGGTAATGATCAGACCTGACGAAGGCCCGTACACCTAAGACAGTGAAAGAACTTTCAGCTAAGCCCAGGAGCTGCAGGGCAGGGAGTGCTGACCGTGTCCAGGGTCCAGGAGGACACTGTCCTGATGTCCTTCAGCAGGTAGTTCCAGGACACAACGGTCTTCATGTTGACATGCAGCTGGTGCCACAGGGACATGACGTTCTGGTAGAGCTGCTCGATCCTGGACAACACACAGACATCAGAGCCCACATGAGGACAGGGTGCACCTCTTATTGGGGCAGTCAGTGTCGGGGTGTGTCTTAGTGTCCCCATCTGCCTCAGTCACAGCTCAGTGAGTCAGTATTTCAGTATGTTTGGTGACCTC